AGCATAAGAATGCAATGGGCTGGACATGCATGGCGTGCGGAAGGATGCCTGATAAAAGAAATAATGACTTGGACGCCAACAGGGAAAAGACCAAGGGGAAGACCCCAAAGAAGATGGATAGACAGCGTAAATGAAATATGGAATGCGGTAGGACAAGAAGTTAGGACGAATTGGCAAATCATAGCGCAAGATAGAGAGAAATGGGAGGAGATAGTTTTAGTGGTAAAGATCCTCAATGGATCGTAAAGCCGGAAAAAAAATTAAAAAAATATTCAGTTTCTATTTATGTTATTTAAGATTTTCGATCTTTTATATTTTTTACGTGACTTACGTTATATAAGTGATGATTGTTTAATATTGTAAATGTGGTATTTTGGACAAATTGCATCACATCATCACGACAAGTGAACCCAAATTCATTAGTTTTTGCAATACTCGCTACCAAGTCAACGAAATATCTTACGAGATTATTACAATCGTCCCAATTACAAACCGCTTCAAATAATTTTGAAGTATCAAATAATGTACAAACAAGAAGATCTAAAGCTTGTTGTATTGATTGTGACATTGTTTCAGTAGGTATTAAATTGGTATCCAGAAAATTCATTTTTAAATCATATGTGTTGTAACCAGAATCAATTAAGATCCTAGACATCTCGTTTAAAGTTTTCATAGTAATAACAGGTTGAACTAAACACGTATCTGATTTTTGAATTAAAGTAGATGAACAGTTACTCACTGAAGACATTCCATAGTCTGTTTTAATTTTTTTTTCTTGTGGCATAGTATCTGAAATACCTAATACATATGTTTTTACTTGATTAGTAATAAAAATATCTAAAGTGCAATCAAATTAATATAATGATCAGTTTGGCGAAATAAACTAGTCTCAGATCTCAACTTTGTCGCTATACATTATAAACAATTAAATAAATACCAATTTATTTTTTTTTTTTTCATATGACAAACAAATACCATTAAATGGAGATTATACTTAAAGTATTAAAATTAGAACAAATTATATAATATATTTTATAATTTTCATTAATTTAATTTAAATATATAGGTAATTAAATTACACATATACTAATGAAAATAAAAGAATAAAATATTTATTTTTTATATTATATTCTTGAAATAATTTCTGGTTGTGCAATTATAATTATTTAAATAAAACAAACTAAACAAAATATCATGCTTCGCACCCAAATTATTTATTTATAAAGTGTTAGAAATGATTTCTATGTTTTTTCAAACATCAAAATTAAAAATTAAAAAGTTAATTTACGAGATAGATACTTATAAGTTATAACCGTTATTAATTGAGTTAATAGGGTGTTAAATAAATCGGGATAAACTTATTTTAAAAACTATTTAGGTATCTACATATTTAATTTATCAAAAACGTATATTATATTGTTTCATTTCATAAAATATTATAAGATTACGTACTTATTAATGTTATTAAAAAATATAATTTCACATGAAAATCATATAATATTTTAGGTCTAATAAACACGTTCAATACGTATCGATAGATAATTACATTTTATCTTGAAACTATATCATCAGTGCTTTAAATTGTCACATCGTAGTTTTACTGTCATTTCGTCTCGTATTACTTGTTCTCACAATGTCTTCAAAGATTTGTTTAAGTTTAAATAAAAAAACTTATAAATAAATAATAATTAGATCATCGGGATAACTATATAACTTCAGTTATTAATATAGAATAATTAGGCAGTAGTTTATGTAGTATTCTTTTATTTTGAAATGTTATGCATAATCCAGCTCCTTCTTGAATTTTTGATAACTTGTTATTTTTTAACTGTTAAAATTGATGGTTATCTTTTGATGAAAAATAATATAATTTGGAGATTTATCGATTTTAGTAGTAATAAATAGTTAATATAAACAACAGTAGCCGGCGGAATCGATTTTCGCTGTTTTAATTATTATTTATTACACATTTAAAAACAATTATTACTACAATTTACTAACTAATAAGTTTGTGATTGTTATAACCTATACTTCAGCAGTGAAAAAGTATTTATTTTTAAATATATTTAATTATTATTTTGTAACAAAATTACTTATACTATACTAAAAACTAATTAAATACTTCGATGTACGGTCATGAAGTTACCACACGGACTTTACATAATCCGTTCAAAATATAAGCCAACATTTTATGATTTATTTACTAGAATTCGAAATTTATTCTTGAAATTTTAACTCCCAAAAAAACAACAAATCTACTCGTCTAATTTTCTTTTTAAAACTTTAAAAAGGTTGGTGGGCCAAATTCAGAAATTTTAAAACTCATATCTCAGCTTTGAAGGATTAGGTCTCACAAATTCTATCAAAACAAGACGAACAATTTGGTATTATACTAGATAGATTTAAATAAAATAGGCTGAGCTCTACCTGAAATTTGTTCACTCATGAATAGAGGGGGAATAATTACTAGCAAATTTTGGGAATGGAATCGCAAATTCTAACAAATAACTCGCAAAATGTTAACAGATTGTATCAGGTCGGTAGGCCAACTCTTTAAACGATCATAATAGTTTATAACTAATTAAAAATTTTATTTAATGTTCTTAGATATTTATTATATACATACATGATTTTTCAAGATTTTGATGATCCGTGAAAGACAGAGACAAAGACGCATTTTCTTTGATGCCTTGTTGATCAAATAGTTTATTTGATTCAGAATCACATAAAAATTCCTTTACAAAAAAGTAAAAACATTATTATCAACTAAATATTAAAAAACTTACAGTTAACTATGTGGCTTTAAACGTTCTATATCATGACCATTAAAATGGAAAAAATATTTTAGTAATTTATTTTTCTAAAAATAATAATAATAATTTATAATAGATTAAATTATTATTTGCTAAAAATATATAGTATAGCATAAGATACATCAGCATATTTACATGTATAATATTGGTATAGCTACTATACCAAATGAAAGAACTGCATTTTTAAATTGGCTAAAAACTATCATTGAATTCAGCTTTAATTATAGTTTGTTTCTGGTATAAAAATTGTTATTAACACGAATTAAAAAAGTCGAACATTTTAAATAGGTAGCTAAAATAAATGATATCTATACTGTGTCTAGAAAATAATTTCTATAAAAAGATTTAGTGACAATTTCACATATCTATAATTATCGCTACCTATATGAATTAAAATGTAAAAATAGAATCGATTGTGTCTATAACTACAGTGTGTTACATATTACATTTTCAACAATAATTAAAAAATAACTTGAAATTTCTTACTACCAACTTAGTAGTTAGTATCACTTTAGTAACAAGAAGATCAATTTTTTTTTACTAGAAACTACCCTAAACTTTGAAAATAAAATATTTTTTTCTGCTTCAAAAAGTAAAGACGATAAACAACATTTTTAAAAGATTCTTATAAATAAGAAACACATCAATAAAAAACCAAAAAATTTTTAATAAAACTAACCTAAAATTTAAAATTATTGTAAATTAAGTAATTTTATACTAAGTATAAACTATTTCATAATAAACATCCACCAAACTAACGTACCTGGAAAAACAATTCACTCTCCTCTTTCATGATTTTTGACTGAACGCTTGTAACATAATCTACTATATTCATTCCAACAGGTTTGTTTTGTATTAATTTAACAGCCAATGCCGTATTTAAATCGCATTCCATTTCTGTATACGTTTAAAAATTATAATTTATTAAAATATTTTATGCAAATACAATACATTGCATAATTATTTACAAAGCAAATTCTTGCAGAGATTAACAACACATGACACCCTCTTAGTAACTTAGTCGATTTTTGTAGCATATTAGTGGTTCAAATTAATAATTGTACAACAATAAAAAAATTAGGTTCGACATAATAAAAATAAATATATTACTATTATAACATGTTTATGTATGAATATGATATTAGTCTATAGATATTAGTTAAATAAATTGATAGATACTAGATACTATTATTTATATATTATTGTTGTAACTTTAAAAATACTACTTTTAGAATCTAATCAAACCGTATCAATTTAAATGTTTTCAATTAGTTTAAAATTGTCATTTAGTTTGGTAATAAAATATCATTAAATCTAAACATTATTTGTCTTCTACGGTATTGCATTAAACACAATAATAATTAATAATTTTAAAAATCTAAGTAAAATCATAACAGTAGTAAAAATAAAACTAAACAAAAAAATAAATATCATTACGTCCATAATATTATATATTAAGTAAATGTTGTGTATTCTCAGAAATAAATTAAAGTGTAATTACAAAATTTAATAGCATGATAAAAATGTTTACTGTTTAATTATTCAATTATTAAACAGTATAACTAATTGAAAACTATTTTTATTTCACTGGTAAATCAATACAAGTGTTAGTGTATAAAAGATTGTCATTTATCAATATTGTTTGCCCTATAACTTAAACCTACATTGTTTTAAATATTTCTGGCTGTTAGTTGTTACTCTTTTTAAGTCAATAGAAATTATTACACACGAGTATATCAATTTGAAAACCAAGTAAAAAGCTTCCATAACCCGTGATGAACAGCGTTTCATCAAATTTTTCTCATATTTATAATAATTATCTATCAAAATTGGAAAAAAACTACTGTCGACTAAGTATATTACTCACTTTGATTGTTAATTTTGTTAATTGTTAGACGTAGAATTGTAGAAATTAGTAAATAGCTGCAAACACTGTCAGAGCTTGCGATGGTTATTGTATGTTTTTATTTTCTGAATCATAGAAAATTTATAACATTACAACCGATGATCGATTGCATTAGATTTTTTAATCGTTATGAAAGAAAAATAGTAAAAACTAAAAACAGCGGCCGAGTTTAGAATCTCAGCGGTCTGCCGGTCTACGTACATAGAACGTCTTTGACATCAACAATTGAGGTTATGTTACTTAATCAAATTTGTTTATACTGATTGAACTTTACTGATATAATGATGTACATTTCATTAATTTCAATATAAAAATTTTGTATTATCGCATCACGTTTCTTAACTCTCAAGATCAGGTACTTACCATACTACCAGAATATACTACAATACTTAAATTCAAATATATTTTTTAAATCATCTCATTGTTATTTTGAGCTAACTAAAATAATATATCATCATGGATGGCCCCAAGATGTCACAAGATGAACTCGTGGAAAAATTAAAACATCAAGTGGCGTTAGAAAATATAGAACTGTTATTAATGGTAATTAGTGTTTTACGATTTAGTAATGAAAGCGGTGAAACTATGAACGAATAATTAAAAACAATTATCTTTTAGCATGCCATTTGAATATTATACTTAATTTTGATTATTAAACTAAATTATCTAAAAATCATTTAAAAACTAAAATTTAATCTAAAGAAATGTCCTTAAAATAATTATAAATTTTCTTTGTTAAATTTACAAAGATAGTTGATAGGTAAAATATTTTATTAGAAAAATTTTTACTAATTTTTGATTTTTACTTATAAATATACATATATATAACTTTTTATTTCAACCCTATATAAATTATGTAAATATTTTTACACTATTTGTAATAAATTACAGTGTTTAATAACCTTAACTTCTGGCAAAACTCATATGTTAAATATGTATATTTAATATTTATATAGATTATCTTTAGTTATTACTTATGATATTTTTACCATTTTACAACTCGTACAGCTATGATACATTTTTTTTTTTTTTTTTTAAATAGATTATAAACCCCTAACCATTGTATCATGGATAATTTTGATAAACAATAGGTGATAAATTTTTAAGTTTTAAGACAACTAATAACGACTTGTTACTACAGTGTAGTTTGTGTAGCCTGTATGCAATTGTCATTTAAAAGTATAAAAAATAATATATTTCCTATTTGTTAAATAAACATAATATAATATTCAGTTTATTATAAATATAATTTTTTAATATCTATATGATATTTAATTTAAAAGTATAGAATATATTATAACCTAACTTAAATAAATTAAGTTAATAAAATTATTGTTGCGCTTCTTTGTAGACCACTTGCATCAAACCTATTATAATATGTAATAAGAATATTATATTATGTTTTAATAATTTCAGAAAATGAGTCGATTGTGTTTCAACAAATGCATAATAAAACCAGGACCTTCACTAGATAGTACTGAACAAGTAAATATAATAAAATTATATATTACATTTTAATAAAGTGCAATATTAAATAACTTTTTTTTTAGAAATGTGTTTCAATGTGTATGGACCGTTATATGGAAACAGTGAGTTTAGTGTCCAAGTCCTTTGGTGAACGACTTATGGCTGAATCCCAAAATATGCATTAAACTGAAACAACAATGCATTAAATGAGTGTTACTTGTAGCTATAGTTTTCTGTCGTTAATACTGTTAATTGTTTATTTACATTTGTAATTAATTTTTAAACACCACAAAAAATTTAATTGTATAAAAATAAAAAATAAACATCAGAAGTCTAAAATCTTATTATTATTCAAAGATGAATGTTATGAGTCCTTATCATTTCAGGACTGCCATTCTGAGTCTGAAACAAAAAAAAATATATTGTTAAGAATGCATTAAAAAATTGTTTTTAAACAGTTTTTATATGATTATAAGTTATATGGTTATAATTAAAAATAATATTTAATATACTTTTTATACTTTACAATTGAAGTTATTACTGTTATTATTTATAATATTGTTATATTATGACAATAATTTATTTAACTCACAGATAAATCAGTGCTTGGTAAGCTATCATTACCACATGAGAGATTTTCATCAGTTTCAATATCTTCTAAACTAGATTCATTTTTATTACTTTTTAAATCAAACTTAATATCTTCATCGGTGTTTTCATTTTGATCAATAGTGGAAGATATTTTGATTGGTGATAACTTTTCTATGTTTAAACTATTTAAACTTTCTATAAAAACAAATTATATTTTCAAGATTAATATATAATTTAATTTTAAGTTTTTTTTAAAAAGCGTATATAATAATTAATAACTAAAACAACTTAAATATTCAAATTACAAAGTTAGTAGTTAAATTAATATGCATAAGACAACATTAACAACAAATTAATTCAAATACATTTAATAATAAAGAATAATTTTGAATTTAATAATAAAATATATATTTACCAGAGCTTTCAATATCTTTTACGTGTATATTATCTGATAAATTAAGATTCATAGGTGACAATGATCCTGTTTGACTGTCATAATGTGTATTTTCTTCAAATAATTTTGTTTTAACAGGTGATATACTCATTGATTTATTATTGTCAAGTGTTGATTTTATTATTTCAGAGTTATTTTGTAATATTTGTGCCAATGAAGATTCCTTGTGTGTTATATTATTATGTTGTGTTGTATTATTATGCTAAAAAATTACTTAAGTTTAAAAAAAAAAAAACTATTTTTTTTATAACAAACCTTAATGGCTTCATTGGTTGATTTATATTGTGACTGGTATGTTTCGAGAATTTGTAACAATAAAGGCCTTTTATCATCTAAAATAAATTAATAATAAATCTATTAGATAACACAATAAAATGTTCCTACTTCAAAATGCTTATAGCAAAACCAGAACTTTTTTTATAATGCTAAATAATCATTAAAAATAATTAACTACCTAATACAATAAATATTATAAATAAATATATTAAAATATAAGTTTTTAAAGGTAATATATCAAAACAATTAAAAAAAAAAAAATTGTTATTAACTTTGAAGTTACCAAAAATAACTAAACACATAACATAAAATACTTTAAAGTAGAATTTGAAATTACATATATTATACATGTCTTATTTTAGCAAATACAACTATAGCAGAATAAACTTCAAATCTATATTATGCAAATTCAATTCATTATTTTAGCCATTTACTTAACAATTTTGAGTTAATTTTTGTTTTCTTAATAATATATGTTTAATTTAGTATTACACAGTCTGACAATTGGTTATCCTTAAATGATGTGAATATTACTTAGCTTATATAATAAATATTACCCTTTGAAAGAGAAAGTTCTTCAAAAATATCATTTTTATCTTTATATTGATATTGTTGAGTAGCACCAGTTTCAGAATCAAATACTGATGTGGTAAATGTTAGTTCTAAATATTCAAACAAATCTTTAACCAAAGATAACAATAATGATCCGTTATTATTAGAAACAAAGTCTTTAATTTTGTCTGTATACAGTTTATTCTGGAAGAAAATAAACAATCATTAATAAAAATTGAATACATGGTACAGGTTAAAAAAAATAACATAAATTGTAATAAATTCTTAACCATACTCATTATTCAGAAATCCTTAACTAATTAAATACCTTAGTGACATACTCGTTATGATTTACTTACATATCTAGAGTGAATATATATATTAATATTTCTAAAATATAAATGACCCAATAGTTTTGTTATATTTTAAATTATAAATTATAAAGAGACCAATTTTATATCTAATAAATATTAAGTAGTCATTTTATAACTTAAACTAAAAAGCATTGATATACGAATTATAAAATGGCAACTATCTATCTTATATTATGCTATAACACTAAATATAAAATGTAAGTTATAAGAATATTAAAGGACACATATTTTCTATTAACTAACATATAATTATTCAATTTGTACCTGAAATGAAGAACCTTTTTCAAGAACATGAAAAACGTTTGCTCGAAGTTCTGCCTATTATATGAAAAAAAAAATTAAACAATACAATAAGTAATAATACACTAATACACTAAACTGATCATTATTATCTACTAACTCTCATTTTAGGCAAGACACCAGTAGATTCCAGTGTTTTCTCAACCATCTCCTCTAAATTAATGTTATCGGTAGACATTTTAAACAATAGATATTGATTCAGCAGATGAGATTTAATTGTTCAAAATTGTAAATATTACGTGTCAAATTCACTCAATTACAAACAATTACACAAGATTTTAAATAATAGATAGGTATAAAACATGTATTATAACAGTATATAATATTATAACATGTAATAACAAATTTCACAGTCCACAATAAAAATACGCACTTGAACTGACAAACATAATAATACAATAAGTTTGGTTTAGTCGTTTAGATATGTAAATTTAATACATTTTAACTGAAGTTTTTTAAATAATAATAAAATTGTTTACTATAAAGTTTATAAATTAACAATAATAATAACAACAAATAACAATCTATACCTTTTAAATTCTAAGGACTAACCGCAGTCTAAATAAATAGTTTCATTTTATCATCTTATAAAATATTGATATGAAAACGAAAACCGCCAAATTCATATTATGCTTATCACATATTTGTAAATTAACATGATTTAAAAAGAATAATAAACATTTATAATTTTTTCTTGATTTTATTTTACGGCTTATACATTTAAAATTAAAAATAAAAATTTAATTAGTACATTAAATTTGTATAATATGTAAACAAATGATTGGCAGACAACCGTGTAGTGTGCCTACATAAATAGTAAATATTTAATATACTACCTAACCATTGTGTGCAGACATGCATTATAATATTATAATAATAAAAATAGTATAAAATAAACAGTGAAACCTCTGTTTATGGACACCTGTCAAAAGTTGATATATTCTCGATAAATAGTGAACAATTTTAAATTCCTTAACAAAAATAAATTTACCTACACAATAGGAGTTTTAATCTTTAAATAGCGGACATTCTTAATAGTAGACGTAACCATTTAAAACTAGTACCAAAATTAAAAATGACATCTCCTAAATGAACATTTTATATATACCATCGAAAAATTCTATTCTATATTATATTTTATAAATAAACAATTTAAAAATTAAGAAGATACAATTGGATTATTAGTGGTAGCCAATTTCCAATTGATTGTCCAGAATAGTAAAAAACTGATTTTTTTGATTGAACATATTAAATAAATAATACATACACGAATACCTACACGATACCGGATACACTCTCTTTTTAACACATAAATGTGTGCATACTTATAGTAAATAATAAAATATATACTACAATAGGTATTAGGTACACTCAGTAGATACAAATGATACAATATAATATATAAATAATAATAATTAACTTTTTTACAAATTAAGTACATATAATTAATAATACCGATTTGAATGCATGTATAAGTGTATGTAGGTATACCAAATTTTTTTGTACTTAATAATTTTTCCCTATTGCATATTTTGTTATTCTTCACTAAAGGCCACTTTGTACAGATTTCATCAATAGTAAACAACTCTTTAAAAAGACATTTCTCAATTCCCCGTGACTGTCCATTATAAGAAGTTTCACTGTGATATTTTATTTGTTCAGATCGTTAATCTTGTATAAAGCTATTAGAACTTAAACATAGGTTGTTACATTATATAGGTAGATATATCGTATACTTTATATTACATGTTTAAGTATTCTAGGTACTTGGATATACTAGATAGGTACCTAATATTACCTATATTAGGTATTTTATATATTCATACAGTTTTGCACTTTAGAGCTCCTGTATGTAGGAACCTTAATACTAAAGCGCGGATTTGTATACATTTGCATATTTATTCTAATTGATCATATGATATGTTAAGTAAGCACAACATTTGTATCATGACATAACGATTTAAAAAATGAAACTTTTTTAGTGCATATTTTTGTACATTTCGACATTTTTGATTTTAAGGACTTATTTTACAGTTTTAATTGTATATTTCATCTTTTAATGTATATTTTGATTTTCCTCCATATTTCAACATTTTAATACATAATATATTTATGCATATTCGAGACTTTTTAGCGCATATTTGGTTGGTTTTTAATGCATATAAATCCGCGCTTTAGTAATAACTGAGTTATTACCAATTGGCTGGCTATTATTTATGCCAAAATATTTTACTGAATCATGGTAATTTTGCTTTTAATTGATATCCGAGAAGTCTTAATAAATATCTTAACTGCCAACGGATACCATTTATAACAAATCAACGTTGCACCCAGTTTTGGCCTCTTGTACGGAAACTCCCAAACCACTAAAATCTTCTAAAAAAAAAAAAAAAATATATTAAATGAACAGTCAATATTAAACTATCACATAAGTAGCTGAAAGCATAAATTAATTTTTTAAACAGCCATAGGTTATTACTTATTATAAATATAATGTATACATGATAATCAATGAATAATAGGATATTATAACAGTTACTTAAATATATATAAGTAGGTATGAATTAATACACGAACATCTTTGAAGTTATCCTTCAAATGAATAGGTAGCTTATTTCTTAGCCTAAGTCTTTTAATCAAATCGTATGATTTCAAACATTGTAGGCACCCTGTGTCTTAAGAGTTGTCGAGAAGTTGTTCAGCATCAGCAATTACGTTTGTGAGCAACTCAAGTTTTTTGCATGTTTATTGCGATAATATAATTAGTAATAAACCTATGCGATATATCTCAGATTATATTCTTAGTTCTTACCTACCTTTAAGTTTGATAATAGGTAAATTAACTCTAATATTGAAGCTAACAACATCAAATGAATTCTATTAAACATAAATTTCTACGTTTATAAGACGGAAACAATACATTTATACACGCAGCTGCGGGTATAGCATCCAGCTATAATTAATAAATGAGCTGCATCTTTTAATTTCTTTTCTAGACTGTTTAAGAAAAAAATACTTGACTATACCGAATACATTTCTTGGAATAGCCTTTAAAGCATCATGGTACATGAACAAATATCATTATTATAATTATTATAATTATTTAAGCCACGTCTTATATTGCGTAGTTGTGAAAATATTTATAAATTTATTTTTGAATTTATACCTATATCTATTACACCTATATTATAATGTTTCGTTATTATTATTATTATTGTATTGCATTTCACAACTTGGGCTGATCATAATTGCTACTAATTACTAAATATATCATTTTTCTGTAATCAGTAAGTACCTACCTATAGATTAAGGTTTATTTTTGAGTTGTAAATAAATTTAATGGTTTTGAGATTATTTTAGATTTATTGACACCGAATATCGCGAATATGTACCAACCTATACCATTTAAACATTCGGGAATGAATAAATCTATAGAAACATATAAAGATCTGAGATTATTCCTAACATGGACACTTACTGTTCATCGCCCCCAAAACTCAGCAACGCATTATTTTTTTTATAAATTTTATTTAAAAAAAAAATTATGAGTAGGTCTTTAAAAAAAAACTGTCCATTACTCAACTTGGTAAATTAAAATATTTTATAAATTGTCTAAATACATATCAAATATTTTTTACGCCATAATAAATTATATTTTGTTTACGTCAAATATTTACTTATGTAGATGTACACGACTGTTCATAAGTGAACAGGGAGCGGTCATGAGTGGTGTGGAAATGTGGTATTTCTATAAGATTTTCATGTGTGGCCTTTTATACATTTTCCCTATATTATAAAAAAGTGATACCTACTAATGCACATAAGTTTGCATAAGTACATAGGTACATAGATACTGTTATATACAATAGCTATAGGTATATACTGCTACGTTTTTATATTTTTAGTGAACCCTCAAGGGTGTCTGTATAGAATTAAATAAATGTTCGTATTATTTATTTATTATTATTTATTATCAACGCTAAATATTTAATTCTTCGTAGAGGAAAATTAATCACTTACTTTTAATCTGATGTTTTTAAAAATAAATTGCTTAAATTTGACCGATTTTAATAACAACAACATTAACGCGAATTCGATAAACATTATCTATTGTGTTTTAACATAAATGCTAGTTACTAGTAAATAACATGTAAACTGTGCAGAAACTTGAATTTATACTACATGGCACGCAGCTTTATAGCCATATATATGTTATTATTGAAAGTAGCAACCAGCAAGGTAAATGGTACCTATAATTTATTTCATGTTTGATTGCTGATTGTAGCTTAAAATTTAATATACCCGCCCGTTACTTGATCAGTTCATAAAAGTTCAGCGATAAAGACAGCAAAAATGATGAAACATAGTTATTTCTTATCAAAAACACATAACTTTTATATTTCATTTCTGAGATATTTTTATGATATATATTTTATATATTAATATTATTTATACACATTACGTAAGAATAACATCAAAATTTATATAGCCATATAGCCTGCTATATCGAAAATCATATTTTTCATTACAAATAATGTAGAGCCACACCGTTTACATCATATTTGGTTAACTAAACGCAAATTTCAACATCCTACTACCTCAAATTTAGTGATTTTGATTTGTACAAGTAAAACAAAATACCGGTGGGCCATTAATAAAAATGTTTCTAATTTTCGTCTTTTTG